TATCGAAGTCTGTGAGAATCCAATATGGAATATCAACAATTTGCAAAAAGGTAGAGAAGGCGTTTCTCCGCTTTTGCAAATGAAATACAGTGGAAAAACACCGCTGTATATATTCCAAATAAATAGTCTTAAACTTCAACACTAATAAAACAACAGGAAGGGTACTTGTGAGCATCTCAGAGGAAGTCAGAAAGGATCTTTCACACTGGTCTGATTTCAGAAGCGCAACAGAGATGCAGCACCATAGACACATCGGTTTTTCGGCCGTTAAAAGATGGATCATTTTAAAAATGGTGTTTTCCTTCCTTAATTTTTTTTTTTGGTCAGTGAAGCTAGCACTTGTTTGCTGAACTGTGGAAGAATGCCAAGGTCACATACATTATTCATGATAAAGCAACCGAGCTGAGGAGGAGTCTGTGCTTAATTCAAGAGTAACCAGCAGGAGAGAAGATACATGGGGTTAGCCGCCAAGACCAAAGGTCACAGAGGAGTTCACAAAGGGAGGCAGGTCTATACAGAACACTGAACGCCGTGTGTAAATCCTCATGAGATTCCAGGAAACAGGAACACTACACAATGTACACACTTTTGATTTACACATTCCGTTACACAGAGGAAGAGAGAGAGAAAAAGAGAGAGAGAGACGCCATTACAACTTTGTAACTGTGTTAACTGCAATATAAACCAAAGTCCAGAGTTTGGCAGGTAACTAAAAGGGGTTTATCACTTAGGTTATATAGCAAAAGTGTTGATGTATATTATATATAGTAGTATAAATAATAAAAAAGTATTATTTAAATTAGATCACAGTGCTGCACCATGGGCATAAGTGTCTGATATAGTATTGGTGGGCCGGGAGCTACAACACTAAAAGACTTAACTGTCAACACTGGTAAGTCACAATCGAGAGGGGACACAGAGTTCTGATGTTTTCTTTTGGTGGCAAAAAAAATAAAAATAAAATAAATTCTGAAGATGAAAAGAAAAAGACTTCTCTATAGAAACATAAAAATAAATTGCAACATCTGGGCAGCTGTGATCCACCAGAAAGAAACCAGTCCCAACCTGAATACAGTTGAAAGGGAAAGAGAAATCACATCAAACTGAACCCGATCCCATGTGGAAAACCCTCCCGTGTCCATCGCTTGCACAGATCTCCGGTTCCTGTCAGAGCCCTTGCACCAGAGGCCCCTGGAGAGTGGAGGCATTGAGGCTGATCACCTGCACTTGTCGCTGAGCAGACCTGGCGTGCTGGACTCCGAGCTGGGCCCAACAGGCATCTGAACACGGTTTTCACTCAAGTCCACTGCCTGACGCTGTCCCCCAGGGAGGGGCACCATTCAACATAATGGTCTCTTCCAGAATGCCTCGTGGTTGTGACCACGGTGTCCAGCAAGCACTAGACACGCAGACTGCCTCTTGGGAGAAAAAAATCCATTCCTGGGAAAGGCCTCTGACACAGTCCTTCTCAAACACTGAGATCCGAGACTGAAACCCGTGACCGTTGTCTTGGCTATGGTTTTCTCAAACCACCCTCTAAGGGCGGGTCTGGTTCATTTTGAGTTTCACATAGACGGCCTTGCCAAAGAACTATACTGACCGGGGTGGGGGAAATAGGAGCTTGTGGTATATTGTAAGGCTGGGAAAAAAAAAACCTATGATGCAAACCCTTTCCACATAGTACTAGACAGAGAAAAGACAATCACAGTAGGATAAAAATAACTGTCTATGTGCATAGCATTTAAGAACAAAGAGCTACGATCTCTTTCTCTTAAATGTGTCCGAGGGCCAATAGCAAGCACTTGCAGATGTCACGGTGCTGATGGGTTCAAGGTTGTTCTCCAAAGCATCTTGAAATATTGCTATAGTTCCCCATCTCCCCCTCCCCCCCGCCCCGTGAGTATGTGAGATACTGGAATGACACACAAACCGCCACTTCTCCCGGCAGGAGAAATGAAAGCGCACCACCACACCCCCATGATGGTGCTCAGGCGATCGGTCAGACTAATGGATACATATGCTAGTTTGGAAGCTAAAAGAACATCTGACATTTGGGAAGGAATTCCAAGACTAAAGTGAATGACATTTAAGCAAAATATTCTTTCACAAATAGGCTTGTGCTTAAATTCTCTACTGCTCTTGGAGGAGGGGGTAAGAGAGCGTGCCTCCTGCCCCTTGGCTTGTTAAGGACACGGACAACCTTGTGAACTCACTACAAACAGCCACATACACATCGATATATATATTTTTTTCCTCAACAATCAAAATACAAAGTTAAACACAATTGAGCCATTGTTTTGGTTATGCATAATGTGTATGCCTCCAAAAACAGAAGAAAAATAGAAAAAAGTACCCTCACTAAAGTTTCCCCAACAAGTCTTCCAGAAGATCCAATGAAGGTGCCGAGAGAGACTCAGGAAAATAACACTTAGCTGCCCGATGAGGTATTTATGCAAAAAAGAGTGGTTCTGGAGTTAAGAACACACTTATATTTATCTATTTCTCAAAAGAGATCAGAAAAGTAAATCACACACTTTGCATTTTATTATTTTCTAAGAGAGGCATCTGCCCCCTTAGAAAAATGAAATGAGGGGAGACAGCCCACTGTGGGGTTTTCCTTGGAAGAAGTCCCCTGCCAGAAACCGTGCTGATGTCTACCTCTGCCTTTCCAGAGAGAAGTCTGAATTGTATCGTCTTGGGTTTGGGGGATTCGAGGTGGTGGTCTTTTGGGCTTAAATCAGGTGACAACACAAATTGAAGTGTGGCTCAGGTTCCATAGCTGTGCATGGCTTTTAGGGTGTTTGATGTTTGGGGAGAACGAGGGGACGGAGCCCTGCAAAGATAGATCTGCGTCCCCACCTAATCCTGAACATCACGGGGCACGCTCTCAGGCTCAGTGCAGGGGAAGGAGCCTGGGCCACGACATGGACACGTCTTCCAGGTTCTCTCATCAGCAGCCCAGAGAGAGGCAGGGATGGGAGCATTCTGGCTGACGGAGTTCCTGACGGTAGCCTGTGCTGGCCCATGGGCTTGACTTTGGCTCACAAGTGTCCTGATGTAAAAATTCAAGATCCCCTTAGTCCCCTCCCTGTCCCCGACCACCAGATCCTGAGCCATGATAGTAGGTGCTTTTGTTTTAAACACTTCCCTCCATTTGGATGGAAGAAGATATTCTTCAGATTTTTTTTCTTTGGATCTCCAAAACAAAAACAAAAAATAAACATATATATATATAATATATTTTTTTTTTTAGGCAAAGATAAGTTTCTGGTCTGCGTGACATCGTCTGGTTGTCAAAATTCAGCTCTCACAATCTAGGTGGTCCAATTCCAGGTTGTTAGTGTGCGTGGGTGGTAGAGATGGCCGGCCCCCTCTCTCTGACTTTGAAATGGCATTGTCCCAATGAAACACCTGGGGCTGGCCTTTCTCACCCTCCTGTCACTTCCTCCCTCACGTGTACTCTATCTCGTACCCTCACCCAATAAGGCCCATTAGCATGTTTCCCCTTCTGGTGAATTTGCATATATTCACTGCCTTTTTCCTAGAACCAACTCATGGTCATGGTTTTCTCAAGTAAGCATCCCATAATTCTCTTGATTTCTATCATACACACTCACTACGAAGTTTGCCCTCGAATTATTGCGTCATGTTAAACATGTACAGGCAAAGAGAAAGCACACGCTCTCCAGTAGAGAATCAGAGGGGTCGGGCTGAGTGCAGACAAGGCAGTGCAGAGTCAACCATCCAAGCCCTACCAGAGCATGAAGAGATTTTTATATTGCAGAGTAAGTTCCCCAACAGTCAGAATTTGTCCCTGAAGAAGATTAAACCTTAAACACCTGCTTCAAAAAACCAAAACAAAACAAAAACCCAGAAAAAAAAGAAGAAAAAAAACAAAAGAAAGAAAAGAAAAAAGGAAGAGAAATAAAGAAAAAAAAAAAGGAGGAAAACAAAGAACCTCTAAGCCTAAGGGCTTAAAAATTAGAGGCATAGCCTTTTCTCTATTTTCTATATTTATATGAAAATAATTCATGCTTCATGCTAAATACATTATTTACCTTACAAGAACTTTTGTTATTTTTGAATAAAAAAAAGTTTGTTTTTTATGATTTTTTTTTCTTTTTTTTTTTCTCTTTTTTTCTTTAAAGGAATCCATGCATTGTGGATCAGAAATTTCTGCTGGCTACACTGGCTGAATGTGGAAATCAGATTTTTTTGCAAAGATGAATATTGGCTGACATTAATTGCAGGCTCCTTTTTGAGGGCAGTATAGGAGTTACTTATTATTATTTTTTGCCATGTTTTGCTTTTGAAGTGTGTCCATCAATGTGCCTTTATATACCACACTACTACTGGCAGGTTTGGTAGCTTTTTTTTTTTTTTTAATTTCACTTGGATCAAATAGTTTTGATAGACAGAAAAAGAATCTGTACCATTATTTCCTTCCTTAACAGCTAATGTCAATTTTCAGACTTGATTGCTTTTCACTTGGGCAGTTTAGAAGATATGGCCTGTTTTTTTTTTTTTTCCATGAGTTTTCTCTTAGTCCCAATCATATGTGTG